CTGTTCCACATAAAACAGGTCATACCAGTTCTTTGTATACTCATTTATATCTTAGCAGTACCTCTGCTGGAATATAATAACAATGTGCTTGGATGTATGAAGCAGGTTTAGGTAGGGTTTTTGTTTACCTGATATTAATACTAATGATTATGCCACTCAGGGTTTTAACTGTACAAATAACTGTAAAACGATCTGTTTAGACAATTTAGGAAAAACAAATGTGGAAGTGTTAGCGACAGCAAATAATCACATGCTCCTTTCCCTTTCTAGCGGTTACTGGCCACATAAGGCCTCATGCACACAGGCCGCAAGGAGGAGTTATCTGGGAAGTCTAAACAACTTTTATGCTTCTTAGATCACGTTTTCCTGTGTTTAGATTTTGCTGGATTTAGTTGCATGTAAATGAGTTTGGATGCGTAAAAAACAGTTGCTGGGTCCCAAGACACAGGAAATTCTTGTTTGTATAAATGCAGCTAGACTGAATGCCCTGAGAGCTAGCTGTGCATTCAGCCATAGCAAAACATTACATTCTTCCAGGCATGGGTGTCCCCACACTTTTCACTGCCTGAGGCTGGGGTGGGGGCGTCAGTGGTGATGGTGCACATTACCGGGGAGGTTGGGTCACTGGTTGCCAGGAGCTGGGCAGGATGGCAGCCAGAACGTCCGCGCTCAGGCCCTGGCAACCAGTGACGTCAGTGAGTTGGACAGGACGCTGGCCAGAGCTTCATTGGGTGCTGAAAGCTCTTAGCAACCTGGGACGCTCTGGCCAGAAAGAGGGCGGCAGGCACAAGTACCGCCCTCCCCAAGTGACCCAGTAAGATGGCACCTGACACAGCCACCTCGGGCTGCCTCATTATAGAGACGCTTTGCTTCCAGATGTGTTTAGAAATGAGCTACAAATGCACCTTGACACATGTATTTTATTTCCCGTGTACCCGGGGTCTTAAAGTTTGAATGCGGTTAGTGCAGATGGTAGAAGTATATTAGAGACAAACACGGCAACAAACACGACAGCTAATTTTTTCAGTGAAGGATTCTTCTTGGTTGCTGTGCTGTCTATACATTGTAATCATTTACGAGATTTCCTTATAATTATAGCAGCGTATACCAGAGTAGCGGGGACGGAAATTCCCTGACAGCAATACATAGAAAACAAAACCTGATGGTGAAGTCATTCGAAAAATATCATTTCTGAACTCACTATCTTTGTATCTTTTTTAGCACGTGTTCTCATTTTGGTTGGCCTTGCCCTGCAACATTGTTTCTGGGTTTATTTTGTAGCAAATGCATGTCTCCCAACTCTCCCTCATTTGGTACCAAATCCCTTTGTCCCTCTTTCCTCCTCAGGTGTCTGATGTACAGATATCTATGACAATGTACTATTTACCCAAAGTGTCATCCTACACTAAAACCTTTATCTTATCTATGAAATATTAATACTAAAGCTGAATCTCCTAGACCCGAATGGCATTCGGGATCCCAATTTCCGAATTGCATTGAGGAGCTCCTGAATGTAATTCGGGTCTGGGAGCCTCAGCTTTAGTAATACATGTACTGTATATGGCTCCCAGACCCGAAGGGCATTCAGGAACTCCCAAATGCACTTCGGAAATTTCGGATCCCAAATGCCATTCAGGTCTAGGAGCCTCAGCTTTGGTATTATATGTATATACTGAACACGAACTTTAGTTACGGCATGTGACTTTTCTGGCCAATCAGATGGCTCCTATGTTGCCGTAATGAAAATTCATGTTCAAACCCATTTGCATGCATTAAACCGAAAAACACATCTGATTGGCCAGAAAAGTCACATGCTCGATTCAATTTCATTTTTGAACGAAATACGGACGGGATCCGAGATTTGGAAACGAAAATTCGAATTCGGACACATTCGGATGCATTGGGATTTGGAAATTCGGATGTGTCGGTATGTCTGAATTTTGGAAAATTCATCCAGAATTTTGATGCGGAATGAAACGAATTGCACATGTCTAGTCTGCATAGCTGGGGGTCCATTGCTTAACTACAGCGGCAGCAGCCGTGTTCTTGTTTTAACCACTTTAAAGGGCCGCCGTCTATAGACGTATTGCGGCCCGGAAGTGGTTAATCTGCTCTTAGTAAAAATGGCCACTGTCAGAAGACTAGGGAAGAAAAGAAAAATAAGGTATGCAAAGAATAAAAAAGCCGGTCACTAAGAGCCTGACGGGGAGATGTGAATGGCCTTACACATCTTTCCCCCAGCTCTTAGCAATCTGGGATGCTCTGGCTGGAGAGGGAGCGATAGGCACATTGCAAACATTGTGCAGCAGAGCAGCCAGGCCGCTCTGACTGCCCTCCCACCCACACGACCCAAAGAGATGCCTTCTGAGCCAACAGCCTCTGCCTACCTCATTATAGGGACGGCCCTGGTGACAATACAAGGGTACAATTAGATGATAAATAGAAAGATAACAGGAAGTCATTAAACAAGGACCTTTATGACAGGATCACCAGCCATAATATAAAGGAAAGCTACAGATTTCAAAATATTGAAAAGCACTTTTGAAAATACATTAACGTATGCTTACATGAGATATTAGTATTTGGGTTTACATATATGTTAAACAACGTTTTTGCTTTTTTAGGCAACATTCTGATGCATTTTGAGAAAAACGTTGTGTGTGTTTCATCAGTTCGTATGCATCTATAGTTTACATCAGATAACTCAGTTTAAACATCAATTAACATGTTTCCTACAAAATACTGCTCACCAAAATGCATGTAATTGCCTCTCTGTACAATGCAGGTAGTGATTAGCACTTGTGGCTTGCAGCATTGGGGTTCTAGGTTCAGATCCTGGTCAGGACACTACCTGCAGGGAGATTGTATGTTCTCCCCATGCTTGCATGGGTTTCCTACGGGTACTCCAGATTCCTCCCACACTACAAAGACATGCTGGTAGGCTAATTGGCTCCTGTCTAAATCGGTCCTAGTATGTGTATATGTGCATGTGAGATAAGGATCTAAGATTGTAAGCTACTTGAGTCCCTGTGGGAACGTGCGTCACAACTTTTCCCATATTTCGCGTGTGTTCACGGAATGCCAAAGTGTGGCGTTATAAAGGGAATGGACTGATGTGAATGTGCTGCGTAAATTGTTAGCAATATACAAATATCTGTATTTAAAGTAAAAATACAATAATTAAGTTGTTACAGAACGCCTGTTGTGAGAAATAAGGGGGTTGTGTTATCGGGCCTCCTTCTGAAAATGCTAACTGTCTGGCTTCTATACATCACACAGAGTTAGAGCAAGCATACAGCAAATGGAAAAGTCAGTTCCTTATCTCTGTACTTGTTGTTGGTCAGTGAAGCAAAGGAGTCAGCATGACAGACAGGCAACTAATATTTCAGGAGAGGTGGCAGCCTACATATTACTCTTATGACAGGTGGCACTATACATTAACATTATTTGTTCTTATTGTCTGCAGAAAATAATAGACACCCCTAATGCATGAACTATTTGCACCCCTAATGCATAAACTATTTAGAAGTGTTCAGCAAACGGGTTAGCAGCAATACTGACATCTGCAATCATAGCCAACATCAAGCAAAATACTTTCTTGTATTAAGAGAGAGAGACATAATCCTGCCCCTGTACAAAGCATTAGTAAAACCTCATCTGGAATATGCAGTTCAGTTTTGGGCACCAGTTCACAAAAAGGATGTTGTGGAACTGGAGAAAGTGCAGTGAAGGGCGACTAAACTCATAAGAGGCATGGAGGAGCTCAGCTATGAGGAACGAATAGCTGACCTGAATTTGTTCTCTCTGGAGAAGTCAGGATCACCATACATACATACATACATAGATGGTCCATATTGTGAACTTGGTGCACAATTATGCACTTTAAGGTCACAGCAAAGGACAAGGAGCATTATTTGCGCCTGGAGGAAAAGAGGTTTAACCTTCATATGCGGAAAGGCTTCTTCAAAGTAAGATGCGTGAAGCCTGAGTTTCGACATTTAAGTGTATACGTGGAAAAGGCTGCCGCAGGAACTAGTTTTAGCTAGCTCAGTCAATTGTTTTAAAAAAGTCTGTAATCCTAAATGAGCACGATATAACTAGATATCAACATGTTATATGTTAAAAAAAAAACCAGGGGAATCTATAAGGATTTTGTTCCTCTGTTGGAGCCAATTGAACCATGTTTTATAGGGTTTTTTATTTCCTCTGGCTCAAATGTGGGTAACTGTGGACATAGGGTTCTGTCCAGTGGCGTAACAATCGCCATAGCGACCCAGGCGGCCGCTATGGGGCCCGGGCACAGGGGGGCCCGGCCAGGGCATCCCTCTGATGCCGTGTGGGCCGCCTGGGTCGCTATGGCATGTAAGGGTGCTGGCTGTCACTGATACAGCTCAGCAGCGGCGTTTCCCCTCGTAGCCGCTGCGGAGCCGTGTCAGTGACAGCCAACAGCTAGCGTTCGCAGTGAAGGAGGAGGCAGGGCTCGCATAAGAGCAATCCCGCCTCCTCTTACATCACTGGCCAGCGACCTAAGAGCAGGTGGGGCCAGTGAAGTAAGAGGTGGCGGGGCCCGTCGATGGAAGAGCGGGAGGGGCTCGGGGACGGAAGAGGAGGCGAGGCCCCAGCGACCACGGAGGCGGACAGCGCTGACAGGTAAGAGGTGTGCAGCCCATCTGAGACCCTGCAGAGCCCGCTATAGAGAGTCTATGGTGGGCTCTGCAGGGTCACTCCCAGGTGAGCTCTGCAAGTGGCATAACTAGCAATCACGGGGGCCCCATACAAAATTTTGCTATGGGGCCCTGTGACTTCTAGTTACGCCCCTGGTTCTGTCTATTGAGGTTTTTCTATTTTATGGACTTTTATATTTGTTCAACCTGACTAACTATGTAACTATATTTACTGTATGTTTAAAATTTGCACAACAGTGAAATGTAAGGGAGATGTTTCAGACTTATGTGAACATACAATTCCAGGTTATATAGTAATGACTCTTCTTTTTCCAGGAATTGGAGAAAGCTGACTGGTTCCAGGAGTGGCCCGACTCCTATGTAAAACACATTTACAGTTCTACAGATAAATATGCACAAAGACACCTGAGTGGCTGGGCGATGCGCAACACCAACAATCATAATTCTCGTATTTTGAAGAAATCCTGCCTTGGTGTCCTTGTCTGCAGCAATGACTGCACAGCTCCAGATGGCAAAAAGACATACCTGAGACCTGCCATATGTGACAAAGCACGGCAGAAACAGCAAAGTAGGTGAATATGTTTATGCTTTCAATGGTTTTATGATGTCACTGTGTTGGGAAGGTCATTTTGAATTGCAGAAATACAGATGTGCATAGGGAGCGCTTAGTTTAAAATGACACTAAACTCCGGAGTTAAACCTTAAGGCCATCTTCACACCAAAACGCTCAAACACCGAAATCCCATTATTTCCTATGGGTATGGTTCACACCTGGGCGTATTACAGGCCGTATGAACGCGCTACAAAACGTCCTACGCCCAAAGAAGTACAGGAGCTTCTTTGGGGCGTTTTTGACGCGTGTTTCCATTGGGATACAGCCAAGTAGCCCTTGGAAACGCACGTTTGTCGTGCGTTTTGTTTTTACCGCGAATCGCGGTAAAAACGTGCGGCAAACGTGCATATTCAATACACCTAGGTGTGAACCCAGCCTAACAATGCATTTAAGTACCGTAACTATTCATAAAAATGTATCTAATTTGTGTATCACTTAGCTGTAGATCCTCAAATCATCTTTGAATTGGTGCCGACACTGTCCTTCCTTCTGGAGGGTGGCTACTTTTGGTCCCTGTGTGTGTTGTAAAGTAACCACAGCTCCAAGCTCACTCTTGTGGTAAACTATAACTACAAATTAGATAACTAAATGTGAGATTGTTGTCCATCACGGCAGCGAGCTTGGAGTAGTGGCTACTTTACAACACACACAGGGACTATGGGGAACAAAAGTAGCCACCCTCCAGAAGGAAGGACAGTGTCAGCACCAATTCAGAGATGATTTGAGGGTCTACAGCTAGTGATACACAAATAAGATAAATTATTGTTCATAGTTAAGGTACTTGTTTGCATTTGTAAGATATCACTCCAGGGTTTAGTGTCACTTTAATTTTCTGGCCTACACTAAAAATAATGACATGTAAAGATTGATTGGGTACTTTTTGATGCTTTACTTTGCATAGAAGAGATCCAGCCTCAGCTGGACATAGACAGATAAATGGTTCTCCAAGAATGACAGGTGGGAGGATATCTGTGCGGGACCTGGTGCGAAATGTGTGCCTCAACCAACCAGAAGAGGTGGCACTTGTGTTGTCTACCATTTTCTTCCCTCTTTAAATTAGGGTGGTTTAGCTCAAACACACAGATAAGAAAACTCTGTGAGGGATAACAAACTTTGATGATAGGGATAGCCTAAAACAGCTTGACCCTTGTCCAGGAATTTCAATTGCGCCAAAATTGGGAGTTAAGCCATTGCCAAGTCTTCTGTAAATTGAAGGAAATAACCCATAGGCCATGTCCAGTTGTGGCAAGATTTCACGGGATGGTAGCCTGCTCCTTGTTCCAATATCCTATAATATTTTTTTCCCATATACGCATGAGTCTGTGTATCAAGCTGTACAGTCACAAACATCTTAATTTAAGGGTTCAGTGGGGTAGATGTGGCCTCAGACAGTCTATATCATGGAAATCTTCCTCTGCTTGCAGTGCTGGTAGATATCTCATTGTTAGTCTTCTTCTGTGCCCAGTGGCTGATTTAGAAAGCTACAATGATTTGACATCAATAAACTAAAAACACGATGGGCTAATATGGGTTTCTTGTACACACATTATCTTTGCACCTTGTGCTGCTTTAATGAATTAGCCCATTTATTTACTGTAGAACAATGCAGCAAGTCAGATCTGACCCATGGTTGGAGCACATGGGTTACACAAGCATGTGCTAAATTTTGAAAATGCCTCGAGTAAAATTGTAAAACAGGTGCTGTCAAGTATTCCTGGTGATTTTGAGCAACTCTATGAAAACTGAGCTGTTAGACTGCAATGAATGACCAGTAGAGTATGTACAGTGCACTGTATGAACATGTACAGTAAATGCTGAGTACATTAAATCAGGAGTTTATGTCGTGTGTGTGTGTGTGTATATATACAGTACTATGCAGAAGTTTTAGGCAGGTGTGAAGAAATAAGAGTGTTAATACAGATGCTCCTCGGGCTGCGATAGATGATACTGTACAGTAAACTCCCAGTTATCCGACACCTACCGATCCCAGTGAAACTGTAGTTTCTGGATGCTTGAGAGTTAATAGTAACTCTCAAGCAACAAGCCCAGGCGCTCCAGTTCCCCATTCACCTGCGGACTACCTTCTGCAGCCGGCAGGTCAATGTAAACAGCCGGGATCAATAGCAAGACTACTTGGCAATAGCCAATACCAGGCTGGCTATTGCACATGCCCACTGAGCAAAGGAGTGGACCTGAGTGAGAACTTTCTCTTTCAGGTCCACTCCTCCTCTTAGTGGGCGGAGTTTTAATGGCCAGCATGCTATCGGCTATTGCAATTTGCAATCACCAATAGCTGTCTTTCTATTGATCCCCATTGTGTACTGTCTGCCTCCGACTGGGGCTGTACAGCAGGGACGTGCGGTCAAGGAAGGCAGGTGAGGCAAAGCCTCAATTTGTATCATGGAGGAAAAAAGCTGTCAGCTTCAAGTCTTAAGATGACAGCTTTTTCTCCATTCAGATCGGCTTGTTACGGGTTACAGAGCAGGGAAATCCTCCCCGTTGTGAAGCGCTGCCTGTTAATTACAGGCATCGCTGCATGCGGCTTTTGACAGGTAGTTAGGTTACACAGCAGCTGGCTTCTGGCTCCCACTGCTTGTGTAACCTAACTATTGAGAAAAGAGCTGTCACAGCCTCTACTCTTTGTTAGAGGCGTGAGCTCTGTGGATGGCTTGGACCAATGACAAAGCACCATTGGTCCAAGCTGTCCAAACAAAAAAAAAAAAAAAAACCCACTGAGGCCATCGATCTCGATGCCTCAGCAGTGACGAGCAAGTGAGGGACAGGGAGGCTCCTCCCTGTCTCCTCCCTTCCTCCTTCACACTAGCTTGGGGTCTGGGTTGGGGGTGGGGCTTTGGTCGGCAGGGGCGGGGTGTGCTGGGGCGAGGCTGGGGAATGCCTCACCCGGAACCAGGGGTACCGCACGTCACTGCACTACATTGCACTCCTCGGTTTATGATGCGATTGTGTTATGCTGGGTTTATCAGAACGTAACCCGTTCGTAAACTAAGGAGTGTCTGTCGTTTATTTTTATCAATTGACAAAATGGAAAGTAAATGCACAGAAGAAAAATCCAAATCAATATTTGGTGTGACCACCCTTACCTTCACAAAAGCATACATTTTTCTAGGTACACTTGCACACAGTTTTTGAAGGAACTCAGTAGGTAGGTTGTTCCAAACATCTTGGAGAACTAACTACAGATCATCTGTGGATGTCGGCTGCCTCAGCTTCTTCTGTCTCTTCATGTAATCCCAGACAGACTATGTTGAGATCAGGGCTCTGTGGGGGCCAAACTATCACTTCCAGGACTCCTTGTTTTTCTTTACACTTAAGATAGTTCTTAATGACATTGGCTGTATGTTTGGGGTCGTTGTCCTGCTGTAGAATAAATTTGTGGCCAATCACACGCCTCCCTGGCATGATGGATAAGTATCTGCTCGTATTTCTTAGCATTGAGGACACCATTGATCCTGACCGAATCTTAAACTCCATTTGCAGAAATGCAGCTCCAAACTTACAAGGAACCTCCACCATGCTTCACTGTTGCCTGCAGACACTCATTATTGCCCTGTTTCCAGCCCTTCGGCAAACAAACTGCTTCCTGCTACAGCCAAATATTAAACATTTTGACTCATCAGTCCAGAGCACCTGTTGCCATTTTTCTGCAGCCTTGCGGCCAAAAAGCCAGCCCTCCGACATGGAAAAAAGGCTAAGCGACTCAACTATCCATAAAAACGTAGGTACTTGGGTGCAGAAAAATGGCAGCAGGTGCTCTAGATTGATGAGTCAAAATTTGAAATATTTGGCTGTAGCAGGAAGCAGTCTGTTTGCTGTAGGGCTGGAGAGCGGTACAATAATGAGTGTCTGCATGCAACAGTAAAGCATGGTGGAGGTTCCTTGTAAGTCTGGGCCTTGTAAGCCTAAAACATTTGCACAGTAGTGCGTGCGTGCGTGATTAATTTTTTTTTATGGTGATGGTTGATAAGTAAATACAGTGAACTCTCACCTGTGTTTTCTTTTCTTACTAGGTAAACAATGTCCAAATTGCAAGGAGTCATTGAAACTAGTATCCTGTCATGGCCATGGTGGATTTCCTGTCACCAACTTCTGGAGGCATGAAGGACAATTTATATATTTTCAGGTTAGTCACAACAACAGAAAATGACATTCTTAGGTGTTGGAGATGGCTAAAACATGCAGTAAATATGATGGCCAATTAAAATTAGGTGTTGAGTGGGGCTAAACTATGATGACCAATAGACACCACCTACAACTACATTATGAGTGAGGTTAATCTAAGATGTTTAAATAATATATGTAACCCTAATCATTAAATTCTTATCTAAGCTTTAATATGTTCATTTCCATCTTCACTAATAAAATAATACCTGGTGATGCTGCTAAATAGATTGCTGTTCAGGAACTTCCTGTTATAGGGTGACAATGTCTCCCAATTGTGCTTTTGCGTTTTTACCCTTTCACAGAGGCTCCCAATGGAGACTAGAAATTAGCATTTTATAACATATTATGAAGGCTCGGTTTACAGTTGTTACCATCAGAAGACCTTCCCTGAGAACTACAATTCGTTTAGGGTTTAAATCATTTTTAACCTGGTTAATGTTTGAAAATTGTTATGCAATGGGATTAAACCATCCTGCTTATTGAATTGATTTTAAATTAGAATGATCTAAACTGAAATATACTGTACACTAATATAGATACCGCATAAAATAAAAAAATTAAATATCAACCCACATGGCCACATATAAAAGAATTACATACTGTACCTGTAATAAAAGAGGCTCAATACCTACCTTTCCGGGAGCCTGCTTGTTGAAATGCCGCTGCTTCGGTGATTGCTAGTCACTGCAGGTACTTGACTGGCCAGATGAGTCAAATACCTGTTTCTCCTACCAGTCGTAATAGTTCCTTCTGCTGGCTTGTACATCCTGTAGTGATGTACAAGTCAGTGGGCGAAACCACAGTGTGCAGTGGGAGAGCAAGTATTCCACATACTCTGTGTATTGAATACATGCAGCAGCTATCAAGCCCCAAAGAAGCAGCATTTCAAAAAACAGGCCACTGAAAGGTAGGTATAGAGCCTCGTGTTATCACAGGTAAGCAATTCTTTGCAAGTGACCCTGTGCTGACAAGGTCACTTAAGATATCCAAAAAAAATGTTCCTTTGCAAGGATTTTCAATAGTTCTGATATTACCGATGCAAAGTAATACTGTTAGAAAATACATTACAGTTACAATATTTTGATACTATCTTTTGATACTATCATTTGGGCAGAATATCTTGCAGGTCCACGAAGTGTAATAGACCTATATTACAGCAATAGCCAGCACTATTCTAAACATTTTTGGTGCCCTAGGCTCGCAGGAATTATATTGTTTCATCCATCCCTTTTGTCAACAACGAATATATACACACACATACTGTATATTTATTGACATGCATCTATTCCCTCTTTCTCTGCAACAATCTGCAAAGAAAGGCAAAATAGTTGTGTGGTTTACTTCATTATAGGCCTCCTCCATGCCTATCTCTACACCCCTACCTCTTTACCGCAAGTGCCCAGACAAAGAATAAAATGTAAAGGAAAACAAGACTTTTGTACTTACCCTAGAATCTGCTTCTTGAAGTTTATTAAGGGACACAGGATCAGTAATAGTCAGTCTGATACGATCGGATTGTACTGCTGTTTTCAGAAGGTTTGGACACTTTCAAACAAAAAATTTGTTAAGCCAGGTCCCATACAATCCTATCTCCAACTGTCATGCCTCAGTTTTGTTAGCAAACAGGACATAAGGACAAGAACACAGAGGGGCAGGACCTGCGTTGCTAAATGAACTTCAAGTTTACAGAAAGTACAAATAAACTGTTTATTGTCCATTGAGGGACACAGGACCAATAGTTATTCTGATTTGACTAGAACGTCCAAAAGGAGTTCACTGAGGAGTGGACAACAGCCACAGAAATCTGACAGACGCACAATCTTAACTAGAAGAAATATTAAAGGGATTTATGCTTGAAGCAAGCTGGATGACACATAGGGGTGGAAAGTAAAAAAACACCAAGAAGAATTGGGCATTCCAGAGTAACACAGGTAGTAACATTAAGGGGAGACTACTATCTGAATAAGGATGGGCCTCAACAAAAAGTGGAGGACAACTAGTCAACCACCAGAAGAAAAAAAAATCAGGTAGACTAGTAGCTGAAAAAATAGGTAAAGAAAACAGTAGTGTATTTAGGGTCAAGGCTGAAGTCCCTGATGTCCATCCCTAGTGTTTAGAGAAAGGAGTATGGGTCAAGGCAGTATATCCCAAACAAAAATGAACCAGTGAACAGTTTGTAGAAGGAGAAAAATAGGGATACACCGATAACGGTATTTCGGTATCGAGTACGAGTACCGATAATTTTTTTCCGGTACTCGCTGACACCGAATTCCGAAAGTCCCATTCAGGAAGCCAGACGGCGTGTAATGACTCGCCACCTGGCTTCCTGATTAGCCGGGAAGCTGTGATGGATGAGAGGGAGCACTGGCGGAACTACCAGGGTCGCAACAGTCGCATATGTGAACTGGCCCTGGCGTTCCGCCAATTGGGGGGCCCGGAAAGGCAGAAGAGACCCAGTGTTGACATTACAGAAATGAACGTGGGTGACCTGACAGGGAGACAGGTCCGCTTGACTGACATACTGAGCAGCCAGTGACATTTCACCATTACACGGCTCAGATCACTCAGAATGAGGTGGAAGAAGGGTGTGGGTGTGGCGTGCCCGAGTTGTGGTAGTAGTGTGGAGTAAGCGAGCTGCACGATGTTCTGGATGGGGTTTTCTGAGGTTGTGGACGTGCCATAGGCTGCAGTTCCCAATAGTGACCACTTGCCTGGAAATGTAAACGGTGAGATCGGCTGTCTCTGCTAGTTGGGGTGGATGAAGTAAGGGTAGAATTACCGACACAGAGTGGAGGAGGATTCTTCTATGGTTCTCTCATAGTGGTTATGTCACTGTGTGGACATGAGACTTTCTAAGGGCCGTGGCTCCACTGCTGGAGGGCGGTTCTCTGTCATCTCCATCTTACAGTAAGTGCATACAAAACGATACTGTGAGCTTTTTTCCTGGTGACAACTGGGTCAACTTATTGTATTCCATATGTCTTATATATGTTTTTCATGCATATCACTGGTGGAACTAACAGGGTCGCATCAGTTGCATGTGCGACCGGCCTGAGGCGCCGACATTGGCTCGGATGTAAAAGGAAATGGGAGCTTTCTTATTAGAACGTATGCAGTAAGGATTAGCAGAAAGTATTTTCCCACTTAGGAAAACTGTAGTTAAGCAACAGAGTTGCTGAATTTGTTTATCCTCCAGAAAAGGACAGAAATAAAAATAAAAAACAGTATCCCTTTGAGTAGGGGTAAAAAGGTTGAATTTATAAAAAGAGCATGGACTATATAAACACATATCTAGATACTGGGATCTGATGACAGAAATTTGAGTCCAGTGGATCCTTCTAAGCATATTGGTGAATTGTTCACAAGACAGAAAGAGAGCATATAATGAGGTTACTCACTGCAGCAGGACTGTCCTCTGAACATCTCTTAAATAAAATGTTAGTGGTACCAGTAACTGACCCAGAGTGAGGTAAGGTTGCGTGTTCACAAATCCAGACAGCGGGAGCTAGTGAAGATCCTAGGCAGCCCGAGCTGACCATGAAACCAAAGGCAGGCATAAATAAAAAACGGAGAACAGGTGACACATAATGTGCATCAAGAACAGTTCCTGCGGGAAATGCTTATTTCTGAGCTAAGGGGTAAAAAAAAAAGAAAGCAATAAGTAGTGTGTATGTGCAACACTGTCCGTAGAGGATTAGAGCACTGTTCCTCAGGCTGAACAGTTACCTTAATAAAAAGGGCAGGAATTTCAAAAGAAAAAGGAGCACCCAACGGTTAGGCTTGTGATGTGGTTTTTCCTGTTGCAGCCTGCATATTTAATCAATAAATGTATTAAGGGAGCCTGGGTCACACCTACAGATTGTGCCATTGCTCTAAAACACTAAAAATAGTGCATAGGCAACTGATAAGTGATATAAAGCAGAGTTTAATGCATAAGAGTTACATATCAAGATAAGTGAATCCAAGCACAATCTTTAAAGCCCAAGTCCAAGCTCAAGAACAAAAATACCCTTTCAGTGGGGCTCCTCCACACTGTAAGGTTTAAATACTTGTTAAAGGAGAACTATGAGGTGAGTGCTTTTCACTCACCTCATAGTTCTAGCCGACCTGTTACAACGATCAGGTCGGCTCAGTAGATCGGGAGGTGAGCGAACACATACCGGCGTTTGCTCACCTCTCGATCCTGTCACGGCTCTCTGCCGTGACAGGGGAGGGGCTGGATTCCCCCCTCCCCGCTCCGATCTGCCAGTATTGCGGTATACTGAGCCTAGGGTGACGGGAGGACGCTAGTTTGTGTCCTCCTGTTACCCTAAGGAGAACTATGGGGAAAAGACTTAACCCCATAGTTCTCCTTTAAGACTAGGGGTAGAGGAATAAGGTGTAATACTTACCTTATTCCTCACTGCGGCAGGCCGCTTCCATCTGTACAACCAGTGCCCTCCTCTATAAGGCTTTCCGGCCTGTGGTTGCAAGCTTACCTCCTCACATATAGTGCAGGACTGATAGCACTGCATTGTACGTGATGATGCCTGCAGCCTGGAGTGTCAGGGAGAAGAGGAGAGCGTTGGGTCTGCCAGAGTGAGGAATACAGCCTCTTCTTCAACCTGCTCAAGAGTGCCTAATGGTAAGCATTTTAAAGCCCGGATATACTATCTCTTCCTTCCTAGATTTTTAGAGTTGATTCTGTGATTTGTTTTTACAATTTTACAGGTCTGGTTTGTATTTTCCTTCTGAGGAGTTTAGTTTTAATTCTCAACCAGCTTAGTATTAAAGCTTATAATTAACATGTTTTGATTTTTTTTAAATATATTTTTATTTTCTTTAAGACTAAGGGGGTTCATGACCATCCAAAACCTGAAACAAAGCTAGAATCAGACAGCAGAAAGACAGTGAATAAGAAGCGCACATCAATTGAATCCACTTCTGCAGAATACAAGTGGAACAAGAATGCTGAGGTACTGTGCTACACTTTATCTTCTGTACACCATACATTGTTCAGGTATAAAAAGGACATTTTAGATTAAAGATCCCCAAACAGTGTGAACTATACATGGCTGTCAACTGTCTTTCAAGAAAACACAAATCACAAGAAGATATTTAAAATGCAGTAACCTATTGACACCAATCAGAAATCATTTCTTAAAGTGACATTAAACCCTCAGATCTTTTTAACATAAACCAATACTGTAATGTGTGCCTTGCTGTAATCCATGGTTGTTTCCCTTCTCTTTGCTGCTCTTCCTTTTAAATCCTCATCTCTTCTCATGCTTGGGGAGAACTTCCCTTTTCAGCTCAGGGCCTCTTACTGTAGTGCTGGCTCAGGTTACAAGCCCATACAAATCTATACACAGACACCGTGTATCCATTCCTGAGACAAGGCAGTCTGCTGCAAAACAGAAGTTCTGCAGAGCATGAGAACAGATACAGATTTAAAAGGAAGAGCAGCAAAGAGAAGGGAAACAACCATGGATTACAGTAAGGCACACATTACAGTATTGTTTTATGTTAAAAAATCTGAGGGTTTAATGTCACTTTAAGTGACTTAGCTGCAGTAAGCTCAAATTTGATTGACTGCACTTTACATCCCCTCTAAACACTGCCTTACTACATTGGCCTGGGATAGGAAAAGTGTGCTTAAACAAATTATATAATAATGCTTTAAAGTAAAACTGATAGAAATCTGATAGAAATATGGGAGAAACCACTGCTGCCTGGTTTTTGAAGTTCCAAGCTTGATGGTAGTCATCCCCATGCATACTTCACTACCAGGGAGGTAAGAAATGCAGGCAGTTTATGAATGTGTTTTAATTAAATGTTTTTGAGTGTGATTTTTTTTCTACAAAGCTTTCAGCTGTGACAATTGCATGTGGCTTTTTCTACAATACAGTAACAGCAAATGTTGCACTGCAAATTGTGGCACATTTCAGTTAAGCCAGCATCGCACCATATACATTTCCCTTCAATATTCCACGTGTTTAATGTGAACAGCCACTCTATTAAAATAAAACAGAGCAAACGTTCTGAACGGTTTTGTGTCAATACACTTTGTCTAATACACAAAACGACATTATATGGGGGTTTCTGAGATGAGAAAACAAACACAATAAAGTTGAGCCAGTTTAAACGAATTTACAAAGCTTTTATTAACATAGAAAACATTAAAATGCCCATGATCACCCATAAACACAAATCACAATTGTTAGCAGAGGATCATCAAAGTCTTGAGGAGCAGGACTAATTGGTTGCATCTATTTATACAAAACTCATATGGTATCAACCACTAGATGTTGAAAGATGATTCCACCAATGTTCAATTATTCCACCTTCAACGCATTTCACATCACTGCTTCATCACAAGGGTGAGTCAAGTAATCTATGGTTCACAAATGCCAAATTGTTAATGCAACATATTCATATATGGGGACTACAGTAGTGTATTTCAACCCATATTCACTTACTTGCAAGTATTGTATTACAATCCAAGTACTAAGGAAAATAATCCTGTAATAAAACCCAGTAAGGAATGCTGCCAGCCCAACAAGGAACCCTCAGGCACAGAGAAAAGGTGGATAACAGGAGAAGCCTCCCTCCAATCACTAAAAGCAATACACTTACTGTATGTCCGTATGGAGTTGTCTTCATATAATATATTGACCCATTTTAACAACAAATTAGATAAAAGGAGAACTATGGGGTCAGTTTTTTCCCCTATAGTTCTCCTTAAGGTAACGGGAGGACACAAACTAGCGTCCTCCCGTGACCCAAAGCTCAGTATACCGCGAGCTGCTGTTCGCGGTATACTGAGACCGTCGCAGCCGGGACAGATCCCGACATTACTTTTGAGATCTACCCAGCTGCGTGATTGACAGCTGGCTCTGCCTATCTAGAGGCAGAGCCAGCTGTACCCACCCCCTCCCCCGTCCGTTCCGCCAGTCAGCGCTGGAGGATCGGACAGGGGAGGGGAATCCCTGCAGGGAGCCGTGAGTCATAGTCACCACTCTCTGCAGGGATAGATCGAGAAGTGAGCGAGCAACGGTATGTGCGATCTACCATGTTTCCCCGAAAATAAGACACTGTCTTATATTTTTTTTGGCTCAAGAAAGCACACTAGGTCTTATTTTCGGGGTAAGTCCTTTTTTTTTTTTTTTTATTGTATAACAATCCAAAATTAATGCAAATCCAAATTAAATAATCAAAAAAGGTCAAAGTTAAGAATAATGTAGGTGATCAGGGCAATCAGGGGTGCCGTACCTTTCCAATCGCTGGCCAGAATGAGCAAAGCGCACTTTCCCTATAGATTCCTCGCAGGTGGAGTGCATTTGGTATCACTCCGTCTGTGTCAGGAGCCGGCACTATAGAGGAAACATCGGCTTATGCGGCTCTGCTCCCTCCTCGCTTCCTCTAATGCTGCCTTCCTTGGCATCGCTGATTCTCTCCTGTGGCTCTTCCGGTTCCCCCTCATGCCACCACCGGCCCTGGGAATGGTCACAGCTAGGTCTTATTTCCGGGGTAGGTTTTATATTTTAGCAATTCCCTAAAATGGTACTAGGTCTTATTTTAGGGGAAACAGGGTATTGAGCCGACGTGTGACAGTTTCATTGTCACACGTCGGCTCGAATTATGAGACCGAGTGATTTTCACTCACCTCATAGTTCTCCTTTAAGCTGAAGCTCATCTTAACCTGACAGGAAACTGGTGTTCCCAGACTTTGATAATCCTCTGCTAACAATTGTGATTTGTGTTTATGGGTGATCATGGGTATTTTAATGTTTTCTATGTTAATAAAAGCTTTGTAAATTCTTTTAAACTGGCTCAACTTTATTGTGGTTTTTCTTCTCATCTCGGAAAGCCCCATATAACGTTGTTTTGTGTATATATCTAGATTAGGGTGAGATGAGAATACGTTTTTGGGAGACCCCATATTTATATTAATACACTTTGGTGGAGTAATTGTCTTGCTATCCATAATGATTTATTTTACAAACAGGTTATTGGCGTGGGAGTGAATATGACGAGTTGCTGGTTGGATTATTTTAGGTGTAGCGGTCACTATTCTCCTGTCGCGATGCACTCAGGACTGGCAGATAAACAAAGCTGCACTATATTCTTTTCTTTCCTGTCTTCTCAGTTTAGACTATACTGTACATGTGGGTGTAAAACTTTAAATAAAGATCAGTAATACTTTTACTATAAATGAAAATATTTTGCTTTCTGAGTGCTTCCCTTTACCTTGAAGCAAAAAACTGTTGATGTTGAGAAAGTCCCTTCAAAAGGAAGAGGTTACACTAACCTCTTAGATGACCCTAATGATGTATTTGTTCTATTGAACGGCTATGGCCTGTTAAACTCTTCAGCATTCGATATTTGTCGATGTGCCGGATGCCTGTGTTCCCCACCTAGCTCCATCCTCCAACCCCCACATTACTTCAGTACACAGCAGAAGGAACCACAGTGTGTAGAGCAGTGGCATGCGGTACCTTCCGTGCTGGATGAGGCATTCTCCATGCCCGCCCCAGCCCCACCCCCAGAACGCCCCGCCCTCCAGTCCGGTCACCAAGCTATGTGTGAAGGAGGGAGTAGGAAGGGAGGAGACAGAGAGGAGCCTCCCTATCCCTCACTTGCTTGTCACTGGTGGAGCATCGAGATCGATGTCCTCAGTGGGTTTTTTTTGTCGTTTTTTTTTAATTGGACAGCTTGGAGCAATGTTTGCTTTGCCTCTAACACAGAGTAGAGGCTGTGATAGCTCTTGCCCAGTGGCGTAACAATAGTGCCGACGGAGGACGGAGCGGGCCCGGCGACGGAGGAGGGAAGACGGAGGAAAAAGAGGCGAACAGGTAAGGAGTGTGACCAGCCCACCTGAGGGTGACCCTGCAGAGCCCACCATATAGAGTCTATGGTGGGCTCTGCAGGGTCACCCTCAGGTGAGCTATGTGGGCTCTTAAAGGGGTGTAACTAGAAATCACAGGGCCCTATACAAAATTTTGCTATGGGGCCCTGTGATTTCTAGTTATGCCCCTGCTCTTGCCTGACTAGGTTAGGTCACACAAGCAGTATTAACAGGCAGCGCTCCATCCATGACAGGTTATACAGGGGGGAGGCTTTCCCTGCTGTGTAACCTGTTACAAGCCGCTCTGAATGGAGAAAAAGCTGTCAGCTTCAGACTTGAAGCTGATAATTTTTACCTCCATAATACTAGGTGAGTCTCTGTCTCACCTGCCTCCCCGGACCGCACATCCCTGGTGAGGAGTAGGAAACAGGAATCCGATACTCCTAAAAATATTGAGTGCTAAAGTGTTTACTAGAGGCTTTAGCACTTCAGTGGAACAAAGGCAAGAGACATGGGTCATCTTAGAGGTAAGTATAACACCCATTTCTTTGCAGGAACTTGCTTTTAAGTTTCTTTGTCAGGTTTAAAACAGAAAATTTAAATGAAAACAATTCAAAGTATTTAACTGTAATCCATACTACAGCGTGAAACAGGAAAAGAGTGATTCTGAAAATTCAGAAGGTAATCACAGCACTTATGCTTGTATAAATGTATGTTTCACTGCTATTCCTGCATGACATATTAGCCCACTACATGTACGTCATGTTATAAAGAACTACGATATGACAAGTATCAACTTTGTGCAGAATTTATAGCTGTGGTGAGCTTGCCCTTTAATTGTTTTACAATCACCTTTTGTGGAATATTACGCATTTAACATTCCACAAGCTTGCATGCCTTTTTACTATGCCTTGGGCAAAAACACATTTTACCTTCTATCCATGGTGACACATTCATCATAATGTGCTAGAAATAATGCAGTCATGCCAACTGGCTCTACAGCATTTCAGTAAGGTGATTTCTCTGCTCCTTCTGTCACACCAGGGCTAAGTAAGTTCTGCACCTTACGTGGAGTGGGTGTAGATCTTATTTTTGGAACAAAAAACACACCGGGCTAAAAACGTTTGA